CTGTGAATGTTTGACAACACCAGTGCCTCACCAGACATCTTTAGAGCCATCAGGAGGTTCAGGAAAGGTTCACAGAAATACAAACTTCAGAAGAAGAATGAAAAGGCAAAGGATACTGAAATGTTATTGTGACAGGAGCCTAGAGGTGATCATATTCAGCCCTCACGGACTGATGGACACTGAAATCTACATCAGGGTGACTGTTGTCCTGTGGATAATTGTTGGTGGGGATTTGCCTCCAGTCCTGTTTTCAAAGGGAAAAGTGAGTGATGGAGAAGCTGAGCAATGAGATCAAGAGCTGTGAATGGCTAGAGTGTGGAGGAAACAGTTGGGGGGGGGGGCAGGGGAAGGCTGGTCAGCCTGCATACTTAATATTCTAAATACACCTAAAGGAAAATGGAAGGTTTGGAAAGATCAGGCTGTTACCCCCTACTGATTACGTATCTGCTAAGTACTTTAAAAGCTGCTTTAGATGGCTGGAGAGATGGCTCAGCAATTAGGAGAACTGGTTGTTCTTGCAGAGGTCCCAGGTTCAAGTCCTAACTCCATATACTGTCTGTAACCTTCAGTCTTGGGATCAGACAGCCTCTTGTGGCCTCAGTGGGCACTTGGAGCAGGTGGTGCACAGACATGTGTGCAGACAAAAGTAGCCAAACATAAAATAATAATTATCAACAAAATTTAAAAGAAATCTGGGTGTGGTGGCGCACACCTTTAATCCCTGCACTTGGGGGCAGAGGCAGGCTGATGTCTGTGAATTCCAGGATGCCTGGTTGATAAACTGAATTGCAGGATGGCCAGGACTACATAGAGACACTGTCTCAAAAGTACAAAACAAAACAAATAACTATTGCTTCATATATCCAAACTCAATCATTTTTCTGAGGTTTGGTGGCCTGCTCATAAAATAGAGAAACCGAGGCCCTGGATTGATTGTTATCCATATTGTAAATGGAGTTGACAATAGTTTCTAATTTTCGCTTTAGTCCTTTGAGAATTTCATGCGTGAGTACACATGTATTCACATCATTTCCACCCCTTCTCCGTGGAGTTGACATTTGAATCCAAGGTCACCTCCAAAGCCCATATCCTGTCTTTCTCTGTGTGTTTGTGTATATATGATATACATAACATATAGATGTTTGTATATATGCATGTGGGTGCATATGTATGGAGATCAGAGGTCAGCATAAGTGTCCTTCTGTCTTTTTGAATAAGCCTACTTCCCACTAGTCAATTTTCAGCTGTAGGCATCATCTACTTGTCACCAGGGCTCCTGGCCCAAATACTTGGCTTTGGGTTTGAACATTTATTTGCTTATATTAAGAGAAAGCAACATTGTGTGTGTATGACATATAGATTGTCATATGGAAAAATTAGTTTGCTTTTAGTTTTGGCCAACACCGGAGAGAAATCCTCAGTCTGTGTCTACCTTGTCACAGAGTCATCCAGACCTAAAGAAAAGATAAAAGCCATAGAGTGTGTAGATGTGGATTTACCTGTGTGCCTATCCCTGGAACTGGGACAGCCTTCTCCTGGTGCAGGGATATTGGGGTGGCTCTTTTCATTCCTAGCATGGTGTTTCCTCCAGGAATCCTAATTCCTAAATCCCCAATTAAAATTCCCCTTTTCTTATTCATGATTCATTCTTGATAGATTTGGGACATTGTGCCATTGGGTTGGTCATCTGTCATTAGATTGGTACATGGATTGTATCAGGGCACCTGAAGCAGGTAAGTATTTAAGAAAAAGATAGGGATTTACAGGGAACTCCCAGAGGGGTTCAGGGCTTCGACACAGAAGCTCCCAGGCAGTTCCAGATGCTGCTCTGGTCCCTGTGCTGGCTGCCAGACAGAAGTGCCCACAGAGGAAGAGTATGCCAAAGTGCACATTAAAAACAGCTTACCTGGGTTGGAGTACATTAGAGGCTCCATGCACCTATTATCACCATGAAAGCCATCCTGCCTAGAATTAATCTTATTTTGCTGTAGATACATGGCAGATGGAAACAATCTAGAGGAAGAAAGTCTGTTTTCCTGCTCAGTTTTAAGCCAGAACCTGGAAGCAACCTAGATGTCTCTCAACTGAAGAATGGATAGAGAAAAATGTGGTACATTTATACAATGGAAATGTGGTACATTTACTCAGGGGGTGGGGAGATGCAATCTTGAAATTCGAAGGCAAATGGTTGGAACTAGAAGAAACCATCCTGAGTGAGGTAACCCAGTCACAAAAAGACAAACACGAACCTTCATCAAGTAGCTGATGGAAGCAGAAGCAGACACTAAGCTGAACTCCTCCTGCTAGAATCCAGTAGCAGAGAGTGAGGAGTGATGAGCAAAGGGGTCAAGACCAGGCTGGAGAGACCCACAGAAACAGCTGACCTGAACAAAGGGGAGCTCATGGGACCGACCCAAACCCCCTGAACGTGGAAGTCAGTTTGGAGGTCGGGTTAATCTATGGGGCCTTTGGCAGTGAATCTGTATATATCCCTAGTACACGAATGGACTTTGGGAGCCCTCTCCACATCTATAGAGGGATACTGTCTCAGACTAGACACACTAGACTTTGAAGATTCTCCCATGGAAGGCCTCACCCTCCCAGGGGAGTAGAAAGGGGATGGGATAGGGAGCCGGTGGGGGACAGGGGAGGAGGGGAGGGTGAGGGAACTGGGATTGACATGTAAAAGAAGCTTGTTTCTAATTTAAATAAGAAAAGAGGGTAAAAAAGATAAAGAAGAAGAGGGAGAGAGAGCTGCACACTTATACCTAAGACTGAAAAACCACCAGAGTACTTGCAGGAGTCAAGGCTGGAGAGATTGCTTCCCCTAGTGGACAGATAGGTAATGGGCATAAAAACCATATGGTCCTTTCTCTCCACTGCTTTGTTAGGGAATGTAGGTCACAATTTCTCCCTTGTCTCTGAACAAAGATTTTCTTTGAAGTCATTGGTGATGCTTTTGCGTTATCAGAGCTGGGAGGAGGCACCCAGAGTCAGATCTCACTTAGAAAGGGAAGATGTTGTAAAGGAAAAAAACGCCTTGAGCTGGAGAGTTGGCTCAAGAGCCCTTGCAGAGGACCACATGGCTGCTCACAACTATGCCACCAGTTTCAGGGGATCCAGTGCCCTCTTTTGGCTAACTTGTGCACAAACATACATGCCAACGCTTACACACATTAAAAAATAAAAAGATGGGGCTGGAGAGATGGCTCAGTGGTTAAGAGCACTGACTGCTCTTCCAGAGGTTCTGAGTTCAATTCCCAGAAACCACATGGTAGCTCACAACCACCTTGAATGAGATCTGGTGCCCTCTCGCTGGCATGCAGGCAGAAGACTGTATACATAATAAATAAATAGTCTTTTTAAAAAGTGAATTAAGAAAATAAATAAATAAAATAAAAAGATTTTAAAAGTACTTTTGGCTAAATTTAAGTAGCAAATGGGTTTTTTGTTTTTTGTTTTTTAAAAAAGAATGCCCGTGGTTAAGTTTATCTGGATTTAGATAATCATTTTTAAACATGAATGATAGCCAGGATGGTGATGCAGGCTTGTAATCCCAGCACTTGGGAGGTGGGGACAAAAAGTATCAGACATTCAAGACCAGCCTCAGCTACATAGTAAGTTCCATGTCAGCCTAGGCTGATCTAATCATATATACAAAAAATTGAATAATGCTTATTTTCCTAGTGATAAAAATACATCTGGCTGCCAGGGTGGCTCCGTGGATAACCCTGCCAAACCTGAGGGCCTGAGTTTGGTCCCGGAGACCCACATGGTGAAAGAAAGACCACATTCCAGAACACTATCCTATGACAAGCATGGTGAGAGGCATATGCATGAGTGCATACACATACACGCACATACACACACACACACACACATACACACATACACACACATACACACATACACACACATACACACATACACACACATACACACATACACACACATACACACATACACACACATACACACATACACACATACACACAGAAACACACACATACACACAGATACACACACACACATACACACACATTCACACACACACACATACACACACATATACACACACACACACATACACACAGAAACACACATACACACAGATACACACACACACACATACACACACATTCACACACACACACACATCCACATACACACATACACACATACACACACACACACACACACCTACACACACACACACAGAGGGGGGAGAGGGAGAGAGAGAGAGAGACCCTTCCCACATTATCATTTACCAAATTAGCCACACAAAAGACAATGATCAAGGGCAAGCAGGGTGGCTCAGCAGGTAAAGGTGCTTGCCCCTCAAGCCTGATGACCAAAGTTCAATTCCAGAACCCTCTGTGAAGCTGGGAGGAGAGAACTAACTCCAGAGAATTGTCCACACTCATGCTGTGTGGCATGTGTGCCTACACACACACTAAAAACATTAAAATAAAGACGAGCCGTGGCCTGGGGATACAGCTCAGTAGGTAGAGTCTTTATCTAGCTTGCATGAGGTCATGGGTTCAATCTCAGCATTACATTAGCACGGTATGGCAAGTTTGTCGGTAGTTGTAGCTCTCAGGAGGTAGAGGCAGAGGATGAAGGAGTTCAAGGTCATCCTTGGTTACATGTGAGGTGACGGTCAGCTGGGCTATATGAGACCCTGTCTCAAATAACATAAAAAAGTGATTTCAGTGTTTTGTTTTTTTAAAGATTTATTTATTATGTATATAGTGTTCTATGTGCATGCATACCTGCAGGCCAGAAGAGGGCACTAGATCTCATTACAGATGGTTTTGAGTCACCATGTGGTTGCTGAGGATTGAACTCAGGACCTCCGAAAGAACAGGCAGTGCTCTTAACCTCTGAACTAGCTCTCTAGCTCCATGATTTCAGAACTAACAGGGGTATAGGAAATAGATAATATAAAAATGTGATTGCTGGAAATAGATAATATAAAAATGTGATTGCTCTCCATATCCTGCTAAGAATACTCTCTCCCAGGCCTAAGAGGAAGTGGAAAAATATATGTTAGCAGTGTGTATGTGAGAGTACAGTTTGTATTTTTTTTTTTTAAAGATCCGTGTGTATTGGTAGAAGGAGGGAATTTCTATAATTCAGTTTTGTCTTAAATATTTGCTCTTTATATACCAATAATCCTGCACAGTAGGCTCTGCAGGTATAGAGACAGGAGAGAGGGGACCAAAGCCACGTATTAGGACTTTACCAGGACTTGGCTGCAGATGGCTGACATAAGGGAGACAGTAGTGATCACAGTGGGGTTAAGGCTGCTACTCACTGAACAAAGGCAGCAGCGAGCCCTTGGTCTTCTGGGGTGAGCTAAATGTTGGCAGTTCTCTGCTTGTGATGGGCACCATTTCTTACTTAGGAACTTCCTGGTCTTCATGTTTTCAGCCAGTGACTTACTCCAGAACTGCTGAGTCTCTCCTGCTGTTGACATGAGTATCTAGTACAAACATCCTGGCCTTATAGTTAACTTGGGCCTAGTAGGGTTGAAAGGCTTGAGCTGTGATAGATGCTGAAGGAGCTTGTGTACAGGGCAGAAGAAGCAAACGGTCTCCAAGGTAACATTTCTGCAAAAACGTTTCCCAGTTGACCAACATGTCTACATGCAGAGCTGAGGGGACCTGATCCAAACATCAGAGCAGCAAAGGAGAAAGACACAGCTCCAAGCCTCTTTGTCCCATTTCATTGCCCATCAGATAGTTGCAGGCTCAAATGAAGGGTCAGTGCTTTCAAACCTCTGTGTTACCTAGGCAACTGTTCTCATAACCCCTACATTAGGGGTGTTGTCCACAGCAAAGCTAGAGTGGGAGCATTGATGTATTGCCAAGCTGTGTGACTTCCAAAACCAATGCTCTCTAAGTCAATTGGGAGTCTGTAAGCTAGGGTCTGGGGTAGTTTAGGTGTTTCTTTAGTGACAGTCCCCTCCCCCTAGTCTTTGATATTTGTGTGGCTTCTCAGATCCCACCAGTTTTGTAGCTTAATCCAGGCCCTGTTTGGGAGTCTGTAAGCTAGGGTCTGGGGTAGTTTAGGTGTTTCTTTAGTGACAGTCCCCTCCCCCTAGTCTTTGATATTTGTGTGGCTTCTCAGATCCCACCAGTTTTGTAGCTTAATCCAGGCACAGGGCCTCCAAGTGAGCAAACACTCTGGCCTGTATTAAAATGTGGTGTTTAATGACAAAGCTGTCGGAAGTTTTAAGGAGTCACATTTGAATTCAGAGATATTTGTGTTTTGCCCCTTACAGCAATCTCTACCTATCTCAGAGTAGCACTTACTCCTTTTTTTATCTCAAATTCAGCTGTTCAAGTTCCTCTCTAGGAGAACTGATGGATTTCACTCTAATTACTGTTTTGTTTTGGTTTTTGGTTTTTGGTTTTTCAAGACAGGGTTTCTCTGTGTAGCTTCGGAGCCTATCCTGGCACTCACTCGCTCTGGAGACCAGGCTGGCCTCGAACTTCTAATTACTGTTATTTATACTGTTTTCTGTCATCGTATTCATTTCTTGTCTATTCTTGTGTGTGTGTGTGTGTGTGTGTGTGTGTGTGTGTGTATACACGTGTATATGTGCGTGTGTACATGTGTTGTTTGTGTATCTGGTGTTCTAGATACACAAACACAGTCCCTAGGAACTGTCCTGTTGCTGAGTCAGAGTCTCACTGGGACCTGTTCCTGGCTGGTTAGGCTGTCCTGACCAACCAGGCAGCCCAGGGATCTTCCTGTCTCTGTCTCTTAGGTCTGGGTTTGCAAGGGTGCACCTCCACAGCGGGCACTTAGTGACTGAGCTGTCTCCTCCACTTCACTATTCATTTTTCTCATTATGTCTTTAGGTTGCAGTTGGTGCGCCTGCCATATTTCCTGAGAGTGATTGTTTCAGTGCCTCCCATTTCAGGAAGTTGTCCTTAGTTTATCTTCTTGGTTCCCTTCATGCCTTCGCTGTAGAGTACAGGCTTTTTTATTTTTTATTTTTTCAGCCCTGTTTCTCTACAAGGCTTCGTGGTGATATTTACACACAGCTCTGGATTTATTGTCTTCCCAATTAATCCTGATACACCTTTTCCAAGCAATGCAAAAAATAAAAAAATCTCCATTTAACATTCCCAATAAGCTTAAAACTTCTTATTGGTCTGGCCGTGTGTGTGTGTGTGTGTGTGTGTGTGTGTGTGTGTGTGTGTGTGTAAGAGAGAGAGAGAGCATGAGCATGAGCGAGAGAGAGAGAGAGAGAGTACATGTACACTCTCAGACTGTGTTCTCTGCAGCTTAGAATATGTTTTCCGCTTATTCTAGGAAGAGCTGAGGACCAACGTGGAGCTAATTCAAAATTACAGACTACGTATTGCCCAAGATATCAACCAAGGAAACCTAGAGCTTTTCCTGCGTTCTTATGATAGGTACAGTGTTTCCTATTCCTGTAGACCAGTTCAAAAGAGATGACAGTCGTCTATTAAGAGAAAAGAGGCATGGAACTCTTCCTTCCCCCCACCACATTCTGTGTGGATAGCTCCTATGTGCTGTATGACCGTGCGTATAGAAAAAGGGAGAACACTTGACCTTTGACTTAATTGCTCTTTGCTGGAATTGTTTCATAAGGCAGGAGTATCCTGGGGGTGTTGAAATTCAAAACAAAAGTTTATGTATTCCAAAATTCACACATGAGTTCCTCCATTGTCAGAGTTGGGGAGGTGTGCTGATTCCTGCCTGGGAACTGCCTCTCAGGATGAAAACAGGCTCCTCTTCCTTCCCTGGAAGGCAGGAAAGAAGAGCCTGAGGAATTGGGTCAGTGTAACTTTCCCCAGAGTTACACAGCCAGTAGGGAGTCTAGCCAGGCTTGAACCTACTCTCCAGGGTATCACTATTTTTAGCTGAAATTCTATTAGTAGAATGCTTGGTCATGTGTTTGATACCAGCACTGGAAGTAAAACCCTGAGCTACACTGTTAGAAAGAACGTCCTTCCCTCTCCTCAATCCCAAACAGTAAAAGTATGCCATTCCCTCCTCCTAAGGGGCTCATTCCTACAGACCACCTGGAAAATTCAAGTTAACCTGAGGATTGCAGTAGTGCTTCTGTTTGAGTTTTAAAGTTCTCCCCCTTTTTAGCATCCCATAAAATTCCTGTTCCTGCTCTGTAGCTTGCAGGGTGCCATGGAAACAGCTGCTCAGGAGAACAGCTCAGGGCCTTTCCATCCTCAGGTGTGAAGTGTTCCTAGTCCATCATGCTCTGGACTACAAGTTCAGGAAACACATGAAGGGCAATGATTTTCCTGCAAATGATTCTGATTCTGCCTTGTTTGTCTAGACGCAGAGACCTGAAGATTAAAAGACCCAAACCAGGCCAAAATGACAACAAGTTGAAAACTTTAAAGTAAGTTCCTCAGTCTCTCCACTGAATTGCTGTGTGTCTGCCTGCCATGACGAATCCATTGTCCACAGTGTTTGTGCTTACTTGCTGACTGATTCCTCTCCTTCCGTGTGTTCGTAGGTGTTCTACTTTACTGGTGGTAGGGGACAACTCACCTGCTGTGGAGGCTGTGGTAAGTATGTCCTGATGTGAGGAGCCTGGGATTGAAGTATGGTCAAATGTGTGTGGCAGTCACACAGCTGACACAGTGTCATGGAAACGTGACCACACTAGGTCATGTTTTACTTTTATGTATTTTGAAAATCAATTGGTCAGCTGTAATTGGAATTTTCTTTGGGCCACTAACCAGCTCCCAAATAAAGACACAAAGACTTATTAATTATGAATGTTTGGCCTTCGCTTAGCCTTGTCCCACGAGCTCTTTTAACTTAATTTAACCTGTTTCTATTCATCTACGTTTTGCCTTGGGGCTTTTTACCTTCCTTTCATTCTGTATGTCCTACTTCCCTGCTTTCTCTGTGTCTGCCTGGCTGGCCCCTGGTGTCTGCCTGGCTGGCCCCTGGTGTCTGCCTGGCATCTCCTTTTCTTTCTTCCTTTTTTCAAGCCTAGATTCCTCCTCTCCCTGCTTGGAAGTCCTACCTATACCTCCTCCCTCACTATTAGCCATTCTAGGCAGACAAGGTAAAACAGCAGCACATCTTTACATGGTTAAACACTCAACAGTCACCAGGTCTCATTGATCATTGGTCCTTGATGTTTCTGTGTGCTGTTGTCCATTCTGTGGCAATTAGTGCAGTGAAACACTGTATATTTATTGTCACGGTTCTGGCACACAGCCAGCCTTCCACCAGGGGGAAGTTACACAAATCCCATAAGCTGGAAGGTGGCTGAAGGCCTATAGCCTTTCTCTGATTACTTCTGAAGTGCATTGCACATTTTAAAAAGTGCTAAGTGTAAGGGATGAGGAAAATGTTACAAAGCAGAGAATGGGCAGCTGTGATCCCTATTACCCAAAGACAAACTTTGCTCTAACAGAGCCCTGATTATATTAAATATGCTCGATTTGGAGGCTGGGTTACTAGGTAAGGTGAAGCCCAAGAGCTAGTTTTATATCCCACAATGCAGAGCATGCTAAATGGCAACTTGGTCTCAGTTGTCAGTTTGTGTCTGGAATATTTTCTTTTCTTTCTTTCTCTTTTCTTTCCTTCCTTCCTCCTTCCTTCCCTTCCCTCCTTCCTTTCTTATTTCTTTTTTGAGACAGGATTTTTCTGTTTAGTCCTGGTTGTTCCAAAACTCACTCTGTAGACGAGGCTGTCTTCGAACTCACAGAGATCCACCTGCCTCTGTCTCCGAGTACTGGAAATAAAGGCATGTGCCACCACTGCCCAGCTTTGAAATATTTTCAATTACTTCTGGTCTCATGTTTCTAGTAGAACCATTTCCTATGAACCCATCCCTTGGTCCTTGCCCTGTGGAAACTGTAGCATCTCTGGTTGTAGCAGTCCATTTTTTTCTAGCAATTGTGATAATGTCTGTGACAGATGGACATTTTGAGTACCTACTATATATGGCATAAAATTGTGAGTCAGCAGAAATGAGGATTGTGAGGGTTCAAATGTTATTATTTGTCTTAAGGAAAACTGTCAAGTTTGAGGCTAAAACATCACTGTGGTAACTTCAAATAGAAACATGTGGCTCTTCAGAGTTTGGGTACATGTGTTAAGAACCGAAATGTCACTGGGTGGTGGTGGCACAAGTCTTTAATCCCAGCATTTGCCAGGCAGAGGTAGGTGGATCTCTGTGAGTTCAAGGCCAGCATGGTCTACAGAGCTAGTTCCAGGACAGCCAGAGAGCTACACAGAGAAACCCTGTGTTAAAAGACAAAACAAGAAAGACAAAATAAAAAAGAGTGAGAGTCACAGGGAAATTCAGCTTCATACGGGGGGGCCAGAGACCTTGAGGCAGAAGAGTCAGTGGTTGGGGAGTGGCAGCCCTCCACTCCAGGCAGGAGGGCCTGAGCAGGGAGGTGGAAGCAATGCACAGGTTCAGGTGATAGGCCAGTTGTGCTGGGAGAGCATGGAGGAGATCCCAGCAGGACAGGGCCACAGTCTGTTCGCCTCTCAGATAAGGAGCACACCTTGGCCAGTGTCATGGCCAACAGGAAGAGCTGTTAGATTCATCATGCTGCTGTTCGTTAAAGAATAACAGACAATGAAGTTGCAAGATGTTTATATTGCATATATGACCCTGTGTATGTATGTGCACATGTGTGTGTACATGTGGTGATCAGAGAATGCTGTGCAGTTTGTTCTCTGCTTCCAGCATTTGAGCTCTGGGGATCACACATAGATCATCAGGGTGGCAGCAAGTGCCTTTACTGCTAGGCCAATTGGCCAGCTCATTTCTAGATTTGTAGATGTGTTCTGAAGTATCAGATATGACAAGAATCACTTGAAACCCCACAGTCTATGTTGGTACTGTATTTGACTAGGTCCGACACCAGCAAGCTGAACTGTTAACCTTGTAGGATCATTCTGATTCCAAGCTACTGAATATTTTCCTTATAAAAGTGTTCTCTCCTTTTTGTTTTAAAAGGTTGAATGTAATTCTCGACTCGACCCTACAAATACAACTTTATTGAAGGTAATGTGTTTTCTGTCACTGCCAATCACTTGTGAGTGAATTAGCATGATTTCAAATTAGGGTGTTCTTAAGAAAGTGTCACAGAAAAGCTCCTCATGATTCTGTCACTCCCTGTTTTAAACAAAAAGGAACAGAACTTCCTGAGTATATTCTCATGTTAGTGGCTTTCATATTGCTGCAATAAAACCCCATGACCAAGGCAACATATAAAAGAAGGCATTTAATTGATTTTACAGTTTCAGAGGGTTAAGTCCATGATGGTGGAGCAAAGACATGAGGGCAGAACAGCTGGGAGCTCACATCCACACATAGGGTGCAGACAGCACACTGGGAATGGCACAAGTCTTTTGAAACCTCGAAGCCTGCCCTGAGTGACACACCTCTCTGACAAGGCCACACCTCCTAGTACTTCCTAAATAGTTCTGCCAACTGAGGACCAAGCATTCAGACATGGGAGCCTATGGGAGCCATTCTATTTCAAACCACCTCATAGAGATTGGAAAATAGAATAAGCAGAACAAAAAATTTAAATTACTCATAATCCTAGTACAAAGGATTACATATAGTAAAGGTATTGGTGTCTTTTTAAATTTATTTATTTTTATTTTATGAGCATTAGTGTTTTGCCTGCATGTATGTCTGTGAGAGGGTATCAGGTCTCCTGAAACTGGAGTTACAGACAGTTGTGAACTGCCACGTGGGTGCTGAGAACTGAACCCTGGTCCTTTGAAAAAGCATTCAATGCTCTTAACCACTGAGCCATCTCCCCAGCTCTGCTATTGGTGTCTTTTTCCTGTACTGTTTGATATCATTAAAATTAGAAGGAATGCACTAGGCAAGGTGGTAAACACCTTTAATTCCAGCACTCAGGAGGCAGAGACAGGAGGATCTCTGAGTTTGAGGCCAGCCTAATCTGTAGATTGAGTTCCAAAACAGCCAGGGCTACACAAAAAAACCTGCTTCAAAATGCTCCACTAAAAGGTATTTATAGCTCCATATCTGTTTTCCCCCATTCATGACAAACATTTCTTCAGATCATCAAAAGCTACATAAAGCAGATATGATAGCTACATCTGTAATACTAGCTCTGGGGAGGTGGAAGCCGGAGCATCGACTTGGAGGCCAGCTTTGGCTACATAGGGAGAATGCCTAAAAAACAAAATCTGTAACAAAACTGTTAATAATTCACTGGGCTGGTATAGTGACACACACCTTTAATCCCAGCACTCTGGAGACAGATGCTGGTGAATCTCCGTGAGTTGGAGGCCAGCCTGGACTACACTGTGAATTCCAGGACAGCCAGAGTTACAGAGTGAGACACCATCGTAGAGGGAAACAAACGTCCACAGTTCTTTAAAAGAAGAATGTTTTTTAAATGTTAATAATTCAGTGTTATTGAGAGAACAAATAAAATGGAAATGTTTTTACAGTCTTAACCTTGCTGTATTGGTAAGAAAATTCCAGAAATACTCTGATAATTAAGATAGGTGCACTCTAAGCAGATAGACAGCAACTCTTTTGGGGGACAAAAGTTCTCGTGTATCCCAGAATGGCCTCAAATTTGTGTAACTGAAGATTTCCTTGAACTTCTGATCCTCTTGCTTCCACCTTTCAAGTGCCGGGATTTCAGGCATGGATCACTGTGTGTAGTTCATGCAGTGCTGGGGATTGAGCTGCACTCTGACAAGTCTATATCCCCACAGCCAGACAGCAACTCTTTTACCTTTTTATTTTTTTGAGACAGGGTCTTTCTACATTCATTGCCCTGGGCAGCCAAGAGCTCATTATGTAAACTAGGCTGTCCTTGAACTCACGGAGATCTGCCTGCCTCTGCCTCCTGAGTGCTGGGATTAAAGGCATGGGCCACCACAACTGGCAGACAGCCATTTTTTACCAAAATTTCTGAGCTAGTGTGAAGATTCCCTCCATTTCCATTTCTTTTTCCTCTTCCTGGGATAGTGCTGGGAGGCACTCAGAATGGTCCAGCATTTGAGATACCATCATAGGCTTCCCTACAATCCAGCCTTTGACAAAACTCCCTGACAATGGGATTGTTTACCTTTATACCAAGAAGGTTGGGAAAGCATCAGAATCTGAATGTAGTGTGTGGCCAGGCAGACTTCTAGGGGTTCCGGCTGTAAATCCTAAAGTCCTCACGAGTTTGTCTAAAACAAAGAAACATGTCAGCAGGCCTAATGATTGTCCCATGTGTGCCGAGTGTGTCCAAGACAGGCACAAGTGTGCTTCCTTATTGAGGAACAGAAACTTGATGTGAAGGTGTTGAAGGCACAAGCAGAGGCAGAAAGCAAAATGAATATGGAGCTTCTTAGGTGATAAAAATCAAGGCTCAGTCTAAAAAATAAATAAACATATTTTCTCCATTGCTGGAGCATGGTGGCACACACCGTTAATCACAGCACTCAGAAGGCAGAAGCAAGAGGATGTCTGTGAGTTCAAAGCCAGGCCGGCCAGGGCTATATAGTGAGACCTTGTCAAAAAAAAAAAAAAAAAGTTTTCCCCTTTCAGTGTCCCCGATAGGAGCTTCCGCTGAGTGTGTCTGAACTGGAGCCTCTGTTCATGGGTTTGGGGCACTGGCTTGACGCTCTGGAGCCACTGCAGACAGCTTCTGAGGCAGGTGAACAGATGCTGGGTTATCTGATGGGTAACAATGTGTGAATAGTAGTGTCTCCTTGTCCTGTGAGACAGCCCAGCAGGTACAGGCATTGCCATGTCAGCTTGGCCATCTGGGTTTGCTCCCTGAAACACACCACGCATGAACTCTCTCTCTCTCTCTCTCTCTCTCTCTCTCTCTCTCTCTCTCTCTGTCTTTCTCTGTCTCTCTGTCTCTCTGTCTCTCTGTCTCTCTGTCTCTCTGTCTCTCTCTCTCTCTCTCTCTCTCTCTCACACACACACACACACACACACACACACACACAGAGTTGTGTACTCTTATGGGTGTATACAAACATGCCTGGAGGTGCACATGCAAATGTGTGGAGGCCAAAGGCCAGCACTGGGTGTCATTCTCTACTTCATTTTGTTTGGTTTGAGAAAAGGTCATACTTTGTAGCCCCAGCTATGAAACTCACTAGGTAGACCAGGCTTATTGAACTCATAGAGATCCACCTGCCTCTGCCAAGTGCTAGGACTAAAAGTGTGGGATACCATGCCTGTGCTCCACTTTACATTTTGAGACAGGGCCTTTCTCCTTTTAATATTTCGTTTACGTTATGTGTATGTGTGAGTGTGTGTTATGTGAACTATGTACAGGCAGGAGCCCATGGAGGTCAGAAGAGACTTCAGATCCCCTGGAACTGGAGTTACAGATGTTTTTGAGCCACCATGTGGGTGCTGGGAAGTGAACCTGGGTCATCTGCAAGAGGTCTGAGTGCTCTTAATCACTGAGCCATCTCTCCAGCCTGAGTCTTTCATAGATTCGGCTATGCTGATAGGTTAATGGACCCAAAGATCTGCCTCTCTGTGCCCAGGCACCACTGAGGTTGTTTCTGGGATCTGAACTCTGGTCCTCATGCTTGTACAGCAGGAACTTAATCAACCAAGCCACGGTCTCAGCCTCAAACTTAGGATCTCTGTGGCATTCTATATCTTAAATCATAGCTCTCTTTTAAATAAAGTTTTTGTTTTGTTGTTGTTTCAGGGGAGGTGGAGTTTAAGACAGGGTTTCTTGATATAGCCCTGGTTGCCCTAGAATTTGTTCTGTAAAGCAGGCTGGCTTTGAACTCACAGAGATCTGCCTGCCTCTCCTTCCTGAGTGCTAGGATTAAAGGTGTGTGAAACCATGGGATTCATATCCCTTTAAAAAGAGACAATCCAAAGCTAGGAATAGTGGTGTATATCTTTAATACCAGCACTCAGAAGGCAGAGGCAGGAGGATCTCTGTGAGTCTGAGGGGAACCTTGTCTATATAGAGTTCCAGGATGGCCAAGGCTACATGGAGAGCCCCTGTCAATAAACAAATAAACAAACAAACAAAATCAAGAAAGCCAAGTAGCCCCTTTGAAAGGACTTGGAATACTGAGAACATTCCCCTGAGTAGAGGTCCTGCTGACTTAGGTGTTCTTCCTTTTCTAGATGGCAGACTGTGGAGGACTGCCCCAAGTAGTTCAGGTAAGAGAGTACTCATAGTGTGTGTGTGTGTGTGTGTGCGCGCGCGCGCGCGCGCACACACACACACACACACACACTCACTGCTACCTTTCTACTTATGCAAAGATTAATGTCTTCTTCCTTTTTTAAAATTTTTGTTTGTTGTTTGCTTCATTCATTCATTCATTCATTCATTCAGAGACAGGCTCTAAGTAGCCTGGCCAGGTCTTCTTCCTTTTTTAAAATTTTTGTTTGTTGTTTGCTTCATTCATTCATTCATTCATTCATTCATTCATTCATTCATTCATTCATTCATTCAGAGACAGGCTCTAAGTAGCCTGGCCAGGTCTTCTTCCTTTTTTAAAATTTTTGTTTGTTGTTTGCTTCATTCATTCATTCATTCATTCATTCAGAGACAGGCTCTAAGTAGCCTGGCCAGCCAAGAACTCACTATGTAGCTGGTCTCAAAGTCACAGAGATCCGCTTGCCTCAGCCTCCTGAGTGCTGGGATTAAAGGTTGTGCCTCCATGCCCAGATGATTGGTGACTTCTTGTTTTATACCCCCAGCCTGGAAAGCTCGCAGAGGCCTTCAAGTACTTTTTGCAGGGAATGGGCTACAGTGAGTAGTATATGCTTTCTATTTATGGGTGGTGGGGTAAGTTTGACATCTGAGAGTCAATATAACCAACCCATCGACTAATCGGCCTTAAAGTGGAAACCAATAGGGTGTGTGGAATTCATCTCTGCATATATATATATGAGATAGGCAGACGCTCATCAGCACTTACCTGTGACAGAAGGTCCTTGGGAATGGATGGCAGTCTCGCTGTGTTGAACTTACACTGTAAAACACATCTTACTTGTTTTTCTTTTGTTCTTTTGGTTTAGTCTTGCATGCACTGCAGGTTTTGGTGACCAGTATGTGTTCCCAAAGCCACCTTTCTAATCACTGTATGAATGGCGTGGACACAGCTAAGAGGCTTTACTCTGCCCTTAGGGTTTCCCATCATTCTCTGAAATAGAATCTGGGGAGAATCCAGCCTTGCATACAGTCACTCACCTAGAGCAAATAGTGCAAAGTGGGGCACCTCTTATGTTGTCCTGGGCATCATCTGAGGTGGGCTGGGAAAGGTAAAGTCTTTGGTGAAACTTGTAGAGTACCTGAGCTTCACCGAGCTCCTCCTTCTAATCTCTTGATTCCTTGTTACAGTACCATCTGCCAGCATGACCCGGCTCGCCCGATCACGAATCCACTTAGCCCCCAGTAACATTGGATCTGAAAAAATTTATTTCAGCCAACCTGTGACCACTGATGAGTCAGATGGAGCTCAAGAAGCCCGTGAGGCTCCTACTCTCCTGAACACACAACAGACCATGGAGGTGTCTTGCTGAGCAGATGGGTCCTCCCTGGACCATGCAGGCCCCTCCTTCAGATAACCACTCCATAATAGAACATTTCATTCCATCTGCTGGCCTCTTTCTTTCACTCATGCATGGCCACAGCCCCCCCCCCTCGGTCTCTCACTCTCTCCTCTCTTTCTCTTTCTCATAGCCTGTATTTACCACTCTCCACATACCCCTTTCATCTGTTCTAAGAACCACACCCATGCCATTACTATAACATTTCAATGTCTCTTAAAGTTATTTTCACATTTATTTATTTAGTGTGTATGAGTGTGTGTGCATGGGCAGAGGTAAGAGACCAACATTCACGAACTGGTTCTTTTCTTCCACCCCTGGGATTGGTTTGGCATCCACACTAATTTCCCTCCAACAATCTTATTGAACAGTGTAAGTACCCTTCTTCCTACAGAGAATATGCCTCCAGTGTTGGCCCTTCTGCCCTGCATGCTGAGTGACCACAATGTTGACGAGACAGCCTCCTCAAAAGCAAGGGGAGACAGGGTCCCCAGAAAAGGCTGTGGTTCCTGAGCTTACTCTAGTGTTGGAGCTCAGTGGGTCTTTGTGTTAAAGAGTGGTCACTAAGGAGGAGATAGCAGGCAGGCGTGTTCACTGTTAGTGGATGCAGTCAAGGGAATTCTGTCAGTTCTGGAAAGGATACCTGTGTGTTACAGAGCATAAAAACCCAGAGACAGGGTGGCCTAAATGCAGTAGATTCCCTGCTGTGGCAGGCTGGATAAAGGCTGGATAAAGCACAGGGTGACCTAGCCACTTACTCTGCTTTCCTGTCCCTGCACCTCGGAGTTGTCTAGGTCAGGAAAAACTCGCTGAGCCATTGCTGAGTAAAGATACAGATTCTCTGATCCATTAACTGTAGCTCTTTGTTTTTGTCCTTTTGAAAAGTCAAAACGTGTAATTCTGTGAAAAAAAAGTCATCAGGTGGCAGAATGACAGTTTTCTGCCGGGATGGCTACTGGCACTTGATTTAACTGGTGGCACTTTGTGGGGACAGTGTTAATAGTTACCACATTTTATTTGTTGTCTGGTTTTCTTTGAGACAGGGTCTTGCTAGGTAGTCTTGGCTGGCCTTTAACTTGTAGCAATCATCCTGCCCCTTTCTCCTAAATGTTGGGATACAGGAGTATGCCGCCATGCCCAGCTCAAATTTTTCTTTTTGGCAGTTTATAGACATGGCTGTGGGCATTCCAAGGTAAAGGCTGTTGAATAAACTGATTTTTGTTGTTTGCAGTACTGAACTTTGCCTCATGGCCCATCTGACGTGGCCACTATGGGTGGGCCTCCCCTGTGCTTGAAATAAGTGATGTGGGGGCTGGAGAGATGGCTCAGTGGTTAAGAGCACTGCTTGTTCTTCCAAAGGTCCTGAGTTCAATTCCCAGCAACCACATGGTGGCTCACAACCATCTGTAATGACATCTGGTGCCCTCCTCTGGCCTGCAAGCAACATGCAGGCAGAACACTGTACACGGAATAAATAAATAAACAAATAAATATTTAAAAAAAAAAAGAAATAAGTGATGTGGGAGTCCCATGACATTTGCTCCCATTGACTTGTCCCTGACAGCAGACAAAGCCTCCCCCTGCCCTCAGCCTCCCCCATTTCCTTTGAAGGACCAATTTTTCATGGTACTTGTCTTGATTGTTTTCATAGTGTTCAAATCTGTATTTTTGTATGTAGAGGGAAATAATTTTCTCAACACTAATCACTAGTGAATACTGTATTGTCATGAAAGTTCTTGTTTAATAAATGGACATAAAAAAACAAACAAACTCAGAGACAGATATTGGGGTTCGAGCTGAAGATCATAAAAGCAAAGCAGCTGGCCACTAGAGAGTTTTTTACCTCTACCAAGGCTGAAGCTGGAGACTGAATGCCACATGAGACCCTGGGCTCCTGTCTTATACTCCTCTCTAGTGCTGGGATTAAAGGCGTGCACCAAGACCGTCCAGCCTCTGTGGCTAACTAGTGTGGCTGCTGAGATCAAAGGTATGTGCCACCACTGCCTGGCCTGTATGGCTGTGGCTAGCTTTGCACTCTGATCTCCAGGCAAGCTTTATTAGATCATAAACAATATTTCCCCACACACTTGTGAGCTTCAAGCTTGAGCATGCAGCAGAATCACTGGAAATGCTTGTAAAACGTGAATGCTGAACCCTACCAGGGTGTTTATGACTTCGTGGGGCTGAGATAGACCTATGCACCTAAGACTCCCAGGTGGTTCTGTGGCTGCTGGAACCATGCTTTGAGAAGCACTCTAGATTTTCTTTTAAGTGCTTGGGGTTGAACTCGGGGCCTAGAAAACAATAAGCACAACTCTACTTCTAAACCAGGCATCAGCCCCAAATCTGAACTTTCAAAATGTAGTTCTTACACCAACAGCATGGGCATTACCCGCAAGCTTGTTAGAAATGCCTTCATTATTATTATTTACTGCTGTGCTTGGGTGGAGGTCCGGGGGCAGCTCTCAGAGATCTCGTGTATCCAGGGTGGTATGGCTATATGCGGAAAGCAACTTCCAGAAATCCGTTCTCTCCTTCCACCACTGGGTCCTGTGGATTGAACTGGAGCCACCAGGCTTGGTGGCAAGCACGTTTACCCACTGAGCCATCACACTGGCCCAGAAATGAGTCCCACTTGAGAGTCTGTAGTTGAACAAAGGTCCCAGGTGATTCCTATGCCTAGACTTCCTCTCTGAATATTTGGACACAGAATTGCTAAGCTTGAGAGCTCTGGTGGTTACTGTGGACAGGCCTGCAGGGGAAACTCCTGCTCAACCCTCCCCATTCTTTACTCCTTGGACCAGGAGGAGTCAAAAAGCCAAGAAGGATCTCCAGCATGAAGATGGGAGGGGCAGCTGCTCTCTGAACAGGAAAGGGGCAATGTGGTGCCTCCATAGTCAACGATGCTGATGCCGTCAGAGGAAACAGGGGCGGGGAGGCTGTGGGGTTGTAAGAACCACAGAGTCTGCAGCTGGGAGCTGGAGCTCTGAGGAGTGACACCTGTGTCTACAAGGGGCTCAGATCCCCGGGCCTCACTCTCTGGCCCACAGTGCTGGTTAGGACTGCCTAATCTGCTTTCCCTGAGAAGCAAAGGGCTCCTGCCACAGTATCGTGGAGACGGCTGTCTGCTGACAAGCTTAGGTAGCCCAGTTTATTCTGAACGCCTCTGGTGATCCTCCAGGCTGAGATCTGAATGGGCTAGTACCTAAGATGACGACTAACTTAGCACCTGCAAAGGCCTGACCTGTCAGGCCAATGTGCGAATTGCCTGAGTGCCCTCACCGAACTTCCTATGACGAACCTGTAAGTATGCTTGCTTTGTTTTCTGGTGGGCTTGGGACAGGTGAGAAGGAAAGGTCTCCGTTGGGACTGGGGAGTGAGCTCTGTAGTCAGGCTCCAGGAGGATAATCAGTAACGGTACAGCAGGTCTCTAGGATCCCTCAGAGACATAGGCTGCTCTCCCCTCTGACTGCCTCCAGGAGATGTGCATTTTGTCAAGATCTCACTCCTCTGCTGGTCTCTTCTGTGCTATCCACTTTCCATGTGGAGTATTGGCTTCTCCTGAGGCACAGTCTTAGAGATCAGGGAAGGAAAGGACTCTAGGACTTATTCTCCAAAGACAGTCAGCTGCAGCATCTCTGTTGCTCTCACAGGGTGAGATTCTCAGTTTGAAAAGGTAGCAAGGTTGGAGTTAAAGATCACTAAGCCCCTGAGCTCCATTTCCAGATACAAAACCAAACCCACAAAATCACGAGAGAGAAGGTGGCCATCCTAGCTCTGCACTGTCTACCCTCCTGCCTGAGCAGCAGGCAGCTATCCTCTAGATGAGGTCACTGTATCCTCCAGACATGGTCATTGCAATGAAAATGGGATTAGAGAGACTCAAAGCAGCCTGGGCACTGCACAGTTTCAGCTGCCTTTCGCCAACACTGTCCACCCACTCCCTGGGACACGACAGACAGTGCCTAAGCACATAGTATGCTTCTCAGACTTGTGCAAACCATCTGACCTCTTCTGCAAATGTGGCCAACACCTGTTTATCCTTGGCCTCACTGTCACTGCCTGGACCTCATCTTCCCCAATAGTCACCATGCCTCGGGCAGACCAGGAAGAGAAAGTTGCAGAGCCCTGGAGAAGTGTCCAGCAAACAGTAGGTCCCTTATGGCCCAGAGGTCCTAAAGGCTGTGGACTGGCTGAACTAGAGCCAGGAAGTTAATCACCTCCACTCCCCCCTTCAGCGCTGTGGAGTCCTTCATCACAGGAGACACTACAAGCTGCATGCTTCACCTGAGGTCACACAGCTGGTCTGAGTTAGACACCCATGCTACCCATGGCAGGCATAAAGCCAAGCACTTAGCTTGGACCTCACATTCATGGCCAGCTGAAATGGAAGGATTGCTCAGGAAGTGAGCAAATCCCAGCCCTCAGGAGGCAGCAGAATCACCCCCCTCACCAAGGCTGCTCAGTCCCCAAAGTCTGAGAGGAAGGGGCTGTCCAGAGCCAGTCTGTGTGTGGACTCTGAGCACCTGCACAGAGGCAGCAGAGAGCACTGTTTGTCCAGGTGATGGACAGGGCTCCAGGACAGGTGGGCAGAGGAGTGGGGGCTGGCACAGAGGAGTGGTCCTCCCTGTAAGACTGAGTCCACTCAGTGGGGACCATTCCAGGACATGGGTGTCATCCCATGCCATTGATGAACAACACCCTCATCCAGGCAGCATGTGACCCTAGAGCAAGGAAGGTGCCCACTAGCAAGGAAGGGACCATTGTTTTCTGGGAGGTGCTCCTTCCAACTGTGAACCCATGGCAGTGCCTGGCACAGAACACAAACTCAGTGAATGACAGTTGAATGGAACCAGACAGGTGTCCTAATGAAAACAATGAGACCATCTGAAAAGGATTAGAGAGCTCCCCCACACAGAAACACTTAATATAGTCTTGGAAATCCAGCATTTCTCTAGAAATCAAGGGTTTGCTTAGTCTGGGGACAAGACACTGTGCAAAACACTCTACTCACTTTGGTTCATTCTATTGATGTGTGTCGAGGGCCTTCAGTGGACCTCAATGCTGAGGATAGGGCATGGAACTGTAGGGTAGTGGTCTGGGGACAAGACACTGTGCAAAACACTCTACTCACTTTGGTTCATTCTGTTGATGTGTGTCGAGGGCCTTCAATGGACCTCAATGCTGAGGACAGGGCATGGAACTGTAGGGTAGTGACAGATTGAACAAATCTTCCAAATGAGCCTGGTGGCATATGAAGCAAGAGGATCACTTGAGCCCAAGAGTTTGGGGACAACCTAGGGAACATAGTCCTCAGTTCATAGTCTCAAAAACAAAACAACAACAGCAGCAAAAACTCTAAGGAACACATCAGAATAAGTGGAAAAGGAAGAGTTCCTGGAAGAATTTGTAACAAGATTCAAAACCGAGAAGGAATTATGGTCCCAGGGCTGGCTTTCCAGGGTATATTTTTTATCTACCACACCCAAATGTTGGGTGTGTTTATCCCCACTCTCAGATGAGGAAAAGGGGCACCAAGAATGGAAGTGGCCAGTCAGTCCCTCAGAGCCTTGCGGAATTATGGTCCCAGGGCTGGCTTTCCAGGGTATATTTTTTATCTACCATATCCAAATGTTGGGTGTGTTTATCCCCACTTCTCAGATGAGGAAAAGAGGCACCAAGAATGGAAGTGACCAGTCAGTCCCTCAGAGCCTTGCAAGTCACCACTATGTCACATAGACTGACAGACTCCCAGCTGTTGGCACCAATAACTATCCAATGTCTCCTCTGCTTGGGACTCCCATTCCAAGGCCTCTTGGCTCCCCCATGGCCCATCTCTAGCACTAGCCACGGTCCCTGACATGTCTGGAGACAGCTCAGTGTCTTGCCACTGTCCCTGCCACCAGCTAGCAGAATGTGAGCCCAGGCCTAAGGGATGGTTCCTCAAGCCATAGGTGTTCAAAGGAGGATCAGCAAAGGCTGAAGATTCCTAGGAAGCTTCCTGAAGAAGGGTGGGGTCCAGACAGACACAAAGGGAATGGAAAAGGCAGACTAACCTATAGGAGGGGGCACAGAAAAAGGTCCAGAAGACTTGAATGGAGCAGGGTCACTGCCTAGGAAGGATGGGACACACCTCCAACTTGCCAGAGCCTCAGCTTGGTATCTAAGTCAGTCGAATGTAGTGATCACTTACAAGGCCTGGAGAAACTTGGCTTTTTCAATGGCCCTGATCGACCAGGTCATTTTCCTATAAGAGCCAACTTGGAATTATAGGCTGTCTCTCCACGGCTGCAACCTTTTCAGGTTTCTTTCAGTAGTGTGCATCTGAGAGTCTGCTGAGAAATGATGGGAAGTTTGCCCAGCAAAGGGAAAAGTGTCTCCAGCCCAAGCTCCAACCCCAATTCCTCTGGTATGGGCCAGGGACCTGTGTCCACACAAGCAGGTAAGTCATGTCTGTGGGGCCACCAGGCCCTTCCCAGGTCTAGAAACCTAGAGCTTATCACCTCTGGATCTTTGGCCAATAACCCCAACACAACCCCAAACTTCAATGAGAGCCTATGACTACCCTTCCCAGTGAGCCCACAAGCTCCCAGCTTCTAAACTGGAAATAGTGGTGAGAACATTACATGTGACGGGCTGGGAGTGGAGCTCAGGGTTAGAGTGCGGGATGGTACAGGGAGCCTGTGGTTCCATCTCCAGCACATGCACAGAAATGTATTTGAAGCTGGGCATCAAGTTAGCTGCAGCAACACAAGCTGATACTTCCTCCACTGAGACGGGGGAAAGAAGAGAACTGTGCGTTTCTGTATAGACTGGGTTGCACTAAAATAGCCTGTCTTTAACTTCAAAAAGGGGGTGGCGGTTTGCCTTGTTTGAAAACTATCTTCACAGAAATATCCAGACTGGTTTAACTAGATGTTATCTAAATGTTGTGTGTAGCCATGGTGGTCCAGAGAATTAGCCATCACAGATAACAAGATCATCCAAACCCAGCTGTACTGTTAGGAGGGGTTCAGGGAGTATTAAGTAACCTGCACTAGAGACTGCAGAGCCAAGATGTCTAGACATCTAGGTTGGACAGAAACTGTTGGTTGTCAGCCCCCAGATCCCTTAAAGTGGCAGGGTTTCTCTTCCTGTTCTGCACTGAAGCCTCTTATCTCCCTAATACCAGCCTCCACAGGGCCCTGACACCCTGGGCGCCCCCTCATCTGCAGTGAGAGACCCATAGGAAGAGCCCTGAAAACCACACAGACCGCCTTCTTTTCCACCAAGCTAGCGAGCTAGCAGTAGCAGGTGGCCGGTTGCTGAGTCATCCTGGTGCTTCTGGGGATGGCGACCACCCCTAGAAGATGTACCTGGGCTCTGGGCATCTTTTCTCCCCTCCATCTGGTCCCCAAGGACGTGAGGCCATCCCTCTTCAGTGGAGTTGCCTTGTTCCAGAATAATAGGAGTTTTCACTAGCCCAGTCTAGGAGCCATTTGTCCCCCATGCCTGGCTCCATCTGAAGCTTACTGAGGCTCTGCCAGGTGCCAAGCCACATGACGGGAGCTGAAGACACAACAATTGACAAGATAGGTCTGTCCCTCCCCCAGAGACAGAAGCTAAACCCTTATGAGTGGAGGTTGTATTAGATTTGGGGCAGTGTTGCAGAGAGGAGAGTGCAGGAGAGAGTTCTGAAGAAAAGAAGTGTGAAGGTGGCCCCTAGGTCAGTGGGAGCTCCTGGGGAGACTGCCCACCCGCCTGCCTGCCCGCCAGGCATGCAAGGCAACAGCTTTCAGGGGGACAAGGAACTGTACTAGGCTTCTTTGTTCCACTCTTACGGAACAAAGGCGTCAGGCGTCAGGCATTCTGGGCTGCAGTGACACCAGGCTCTGGGCAGGCAACACCCCACCCCACCATCTGAAGAGCTTCCTGCTGTGAGGGTTTCTGCTAACCCTTTGAGAGGGAAGATGCAGAATGGGTGGGTGCCTTCCTACATTCAGCAGAGACCCTTCAGCCCCTACCTACTTCCTGGTTCCTTGTAAGTCTGTCTTCTCCCTTCCCCTACTCCTGGGTCTCCGCTCCCTCTTGAGAGCATCCCAGAGTCCTGTGGGACCTTAGTGCTTTGGGAGCCCCTTAACAGACAAAGAATCCTTGTTGACCTTGACTGTTTTTCTTATCATCCTGCATCTATGTGCTAGGAAGTCTCTCTCTGGGGACCCTTACTGAGAAAGGATGGGAGGAAGGAAAGAGAGGTGAGGTAGATGAGTTAGTTTTCAGTCGACATTTGCAGGCATCTTAGGGAGGCTTGCTAGACTGCGTGGGCCCATGTAAGGAAAGTGAGTCTTCTGCTTGCCTCTGAATTAGACTGCATGTCCACTGAGTCCCCAGGACCATTTCTAGGGTGACTGCTGTCTCAGCTTCACTCTGGTTCCAGGACCCAGGCCAGTCACTCCTCCATTGGAACCTTTGCCTCCCAGGAATGCAAAGAGGCGCCTTCCTGAGAAGTGCAGCTCTCAACCAGCCCCTTGCCCTCTCCTCCTCCCCAGCCTGGGCCTGTGAACAGAGTGGTATGGAAATGGAATTATGCCCCTCCCCTTGCTGAGTGCCACATCAGGGCCTTGAGACCTTTCTGCACAGTGGAGATGACTAAACACACCAACGTCAGGGCAGTGGTAAGGGCCCAGTAAGAAGTAAGTTGATGGAAGAAGACCCCAGCAGGGCCCAATGTGTTGGGTACAGTCAGGGTTAGTAGGACCCTTAGTCACATGCTCCTGTGGAGCACTTGTCCTGGCCAGGCCTGCAATAGCAGCATCTGCTGGCATTGCAGGGACAGCACAGGCCTTCACCCCCTGCCTGGGACATAGGCCATTGGGAGTTCAGCCTGTGCCTGTACACAGTGCTCTAGAGTTACAGAGCCTGCTCACATGGGCATCTCTCCAAGGGCCTGATGGGGAAGTAACAAGGACACTAGAGTTAGGTGTGTGGGGAAGAGCCCACCCTGGAGAGAGGGAGGTTACCCTCAGCTCACAGACCCTGCTTTCTGTCTCTTGACAGCACATGTCAGTGCTGGTGTTAGTAACACCCTCATTCCTGGGGCCCCAGGCTGAGCTGTTAGAGCTACTGTGTGGCCCCACCACTACCTTTCAGAGGCCAGCCTTGTTCCAGATCATGCTGATATGGTCTTCTAGTTGGTGTGGGTTTTTCTTTTGTTTTGCTGTGGGGCTAGGGATTGAACCCAGGGCCTAGCACATTCTAGGCAAATGTTGCCCCTGTAGGTTTTTAGTTTCCTAACTTCATCAAAGTCTCTGTAGAAGTTATACATACAGAAAGGCATGGCCAGGACCCTGGTCCTCTATCCACACACCTTGGCCTTTGAGAACCCCCAAAGCTATCTGGGTTCTCCCAGGTCCTGTAGAGCCTGCTGGAACCATTTCAGATTCGGGTTTACCCCACCCCCTTCAGGGTGCCTGTGGGGGTGGTGTATGAGGGGAGCCAGGCCAAGGCAAGAATCAACTAGCCCATCCCTTGAGGGAGGACTGGCCAAGAGGGTAAGTGTGTTTACCCCTCTTTCTAGAGAGAAACAAGGTCACAGCTGTGGCCCTGGGCAGTTTCCCAGCAGGTGAGCAGACAGAACTGTCACTGAGACTTGGGGAGCCACTGACCATCGTCTCTGAGTAAGTCTACAACACTGGGCTCCTGAGGTCACACTGTGGGAGAAGGGGCCCTCCCACTGCCAGCAGGGAGGCACAGGGTTGCTTTTTAAAGGCCCCCATGTGACTTACTCTCTGGGTGGGTTTCTGGCAGCCTGACTCACTCACAGGGAAAGAGGCAGTGGGGACCAGTCCTGGGAACAAGAAGCCTTGGACCATTTGCCACCTGCCAGGCCCTCACCCAAGGAGGAACCTGTATTAGCTGATGAAGGGAATTCTGGGAAATGAGTAGAGAAGGTTTTGTAAGTTCCATCTGGAGAAGGCCCTTGCAAATGCTAATTGAAGGTGGTCCTCTCAACAGGGATGGAGACTGGTGGACAGTCATATCGGAAGTCTCAGGCAGAGAGTACCACATCCCCAGTGTGCATGTGGCTAAAGTCTCCCACGGGTGAGTACCCAGCCCTGGCCACCCTGAGGACCTTCCTACACTCTTCCCACAGTGCATAGCCACAAGCAGAACAGAGCCGGGTCATGACCTCTGAAGGAGCAGACAGCTGTCATGTCGTGTTCAGCTTGGCCCATGAGACTTGGGAACCCAGAGAAGGCCCCATAGAGGAGGTGTTGTGGTGTGGGGCTTTGAAGGGTGGCCAGGATCAAGTGTAAAGAACACTGAAGGGGACGTGTAGAAGACAGGCACAGTCGATAAGGACACCCTGAAACGGGAAAACGAGAGACACTTCTCACAAGAGTGAGTGGATCAGCCGTGGGGCTAGAGGATGGAGCCTGGGGCAGCCTGTACTGCCCTCCTCCCCCACCCCAGACACTTGAGAATGAAGTCTCCAGGCAAACAAAGCCCGAAGCTGCCTTCATAAGGCTGGTCCCCAGAGTCTCTGGAGTCCGGTCCCTGAGAGCAAAGCTGGAGGGGATCGCTGAGCCTCTGAGGCCTGCTCTTTATGCTAGGCAGGTCCAGAAGGCAAGGCAGGCAAGTTTGTCAGACTCATACAGAGGCATATTACATCCTTTTAATAGAAGGATTTGTTGTTGTTGTTTTATTTTTTTGAGACAGGGTTTCTCTGTATTGCTTTGGAGGTTGTCCTGGAACTAGCTCTGTAGACCAGGCTGGCCTTGAACTCACAGAAATCCACCTGCCTCTGCCTCCCGAGTACTGGGATTAAAAGCATGTGCTACCAATGCCTGGCTAGAAGGATTCTTTTAAAGCTTACCCTGTCCCTCTCCTTGCTCCCCAGGTGGCTGTATGAGGGTCTGAGCAGAGAGAGAGCTGAGGAACTACTCTTGTTGCCTGGGAACCCCGGAGGGGCCTTCCTTATCAGAGAGAGCCAGACCAGGAGAGGTGAGTAAACTCAGCCCCCACCACACAGCTCTCCACAGTGGGGCTCAGAATAGACTCCTAGCAGTCAGCAGAGGTTTCTTGAGTCCAGCCAGGCCCTGACTGGAAAACACCCTGAGGTGGAGCCAGGCTATGAGGGCAAAGGAAAGACAGTTTACCTGGAGCAGTCAAAGGGAGCCTTTGTGGAATGGGTACCTAGGCTTGGAGCTGAGCCACATTGCTTCAGTGAGGGTCCTTGGACAACAGAGCAAAAGCAGGTATGAATTCACTGAAGGGATCCAAACTTAGTTTATATTTTTACAACTGAGATTGCTGGGCCTTTAATCCTAAGCACTCAGAGTTCAAGGCCAGCCTGGTCTACAGAGTGAGTTCCAAGATAGCCAGGACTACACAAAGAAACCCTGTCTTAAAAAAACAAAACAAAACCCAAACAAACAAACAAAAAACCACCTGGAATTTACTCTAACCAGCAGTGGCGATCCCTCTTTTATAAAACAGGACATGATATGATCTCTTGGCAAATGTTCATCCAGGCACCCAAGAAAGACCTCGAGTCGGCGTTGGTGGCGCATGCCTTTAATCCCAGCAGTCGGGAGGCAGAGGCAGGCGGATCTCTTTGAGTTCGAGGCCAGCCGGGTCTCCAGAGTGAGTGCCAGGAAAGGCTCCAAAGCTACACAGAGAAACCCTGTCTCGAAAAACAAAATAAAACAACCAAAAAAAGAAAGACCTCAAGGGTCAAAAATAACAGTTTTCTAGTGAGTCTAGGGAGGAGATACTGGAGTGCAGACAGGCCTCCTGTGTCTGCCTGACTGAGCTTACTGGGTGGGCTGTCAGGGTCCTTGCTGTATACCCCCACCCTGCATGCACTTCCCTCAGGAGCTTCCTCGACCAACCTTCCCCCAGCCCCTCTTGCTAATTTCCAAGAAACATCACCCCCTCACCCTCATGAACACCCATTGGCTGGCTGCGGTGGCGGTGGGACAGCTGGTTCCAGTGCAGCAGCTACAAACAGGAAACCTTGGTGGTGGCGACTTCGACAGGAGCCCTGCAGACCTACCACTGGTGAACTAGAAAAGCCACAGATCGTACTCAGTGCTTAGTCAACCCACCCCAGGCCCAGTGCAGTCCTAAGAGTACAGTGACCACCCCTGGTGCCATTATTCTGCTCTCTTGATTAAGAAGGAATATGTACAGGGGAAATTCATGGAAAAGCCAAGAGAGATTTTTGAAGCTCTTCAAGGACCTGGAAGGATCCACAGGAATTCTGGGACCAGTGTCCCTGTTGTCAGCACCTAGTAGGGGTCAATCAGAAGCAACTCTCGTCAGAAACAGAAGACCCTAAGTTTAGAGCACTGCAGTGTGTGCCAGTAACCCCAGCACTTGTGAGACAGAGCCCAGAGGAGCAAGCATTCAGTTACTTTCAGCTGCATAGAGTTCAAAGCATAGGTGTTCTGCATGAGGCCACCTCAATGAAGCTGGGAGTGGTGGTGCACTAATTCCAACACTTAAAAGGAAAGGCAAAAGGATCACCTAGGAGTTCAAGACCAACCTGGGCTAGTAGTGAGTTCCAGGCTAGCCAGAGGTACAGAGTAAGGCCCTCAGGCACAAAATAAAATAACAAAAGGCAGAGGGGCTGGGAGATGCCTCAGAAAGTGTTTACAAACAATTGTGAGGTCCTGAGTTCAAGCTCCAGCACCCATGTAAAAAGTCTGGCACGGTGGTGTATGCCTGTGATTTCAGTACTGGGGATGCAGGACAGGAGGGTCCCTGGACTTGTTAGCTTACACACACAAAACAACAAAAAACGTCCCATGCTGACCTTGTAGAATGTGTGTCTCCTAGGCATGACTACAGCCTCTCCTCAAGGCTTCCTTTGGACAAGAAGCTGAAGGGCATACTCTTTGTAGCCTGGGCAAAGAGATCACTTTAGTTCATTGCTTATAGACCCATGGGTTTCAGGGAAGCAACAGAATTGCCTGCAGGGCAGCTACCCCACACCAGCATGCTAAATCTGAGGCCAGGGCTATTGGGGGTGGAGGTCAGAAATATGCCTCCCTCTCTAGACAATTCTCAATTACACTGAGGAGCTGGCTTAGAGAAGTAGACATTAGCTGTACACTGGAGTCACCTGGGAGAAGCCTCTAACAAGGATGCCTGCACACCAAGCTTGAGCTTCTGATTTAACTGGAGAGGACTGTGTCCTAAGGTCTGGAAGAATGCCCTGGGGTGAGACATTCATTGGAGAGGGTATGTTCGTAGTGAAGTAGAGCAAGAAACCCCAGTGTGTGCTGCAGTCAGGGGACTGGGGGTCAGACTTGCTTCAGACACTTAAGTATATCTTGGGTGACTGAATTTTTTTGTTGTTGTTGTTTTTTTCGAGACAGGGTTTCTCTGTGACTTTTGGAGGCTGTCCTGGAACTAGCACTTGTAGACCAGGCTGGTCTCGAACTCACAGAGATCCGCCTGCCTCTGCCTCCCGAGTGCTGAGATTAAAGGCGTTCACCCACCGCTCAGCCTGGGTCACTGAATTTTTTTGTTTGTTTTTTGAGACAGGGTTTCTCTGTGTAGCTTTGGAGCCTATCTATCCCTTTGTGTTGGGTTCAGTAAGGGAGATGAGTGAACAAGATGTGGCCCTTCCACCCAGGGACTCAGCTCTGCCCGCTCTCGGGTGGGCGACACTTCCCCAGAGGTGGTCGAGCCACACTTTCCACACTGTGGCTCCCAGTCTCTGGCTGAAGGTTGAAGGGCCCAGGGCTCAGCATCTCTTAGGCCATTGGCTCCTAGGTGGCCTCAGTGGAAGAAGTGCAGGCAGGGTCTGCCAGGTATTTCCCCAGGTAGATCCCGATGGTATCCTTACTTCTCCCGGCACCACTGGAATGCCCAACCCCAGAAGTTCTGGGCGTGAATGCTTAGGCCTGCTAGAGCATTCTAGAGTCCAGGACCACCTTTGCTGCCTTTGGTCTGGGAGGTCCTCTAGGCCCTCTGTGTCCTCTAGCTCCACTGCCTACCAGCTATTCTGAGACCATGCCTCACTTTTTTTTTTTTTTTTCCACTCTACTTCCTGATACATAGTCCCACAGCCTGGAAAGCCCCCCCCCCCCAAATATACACTCATCCTTCATGGTCTGAACCACTATCACCTCCCCAGACTGTTTGTTGCATTTCAAAACTCCCACACCATCTTGAACAGTCCTCCCTTGTCGCTGCAGTGAACTGGCTTCTTGTAAAAGCTCTGTGAGAACAATGGAGCTCATTGTCCAGTGAGGACCATCAAGGACAACCCCTGTGAGATGGGCTGGCAGTTGCTTGTATCTACCATCCCTTACACCTATGTCTGCCAGCGTAGTAGGTGCTCAGCCCATGTTTGTGGGAGAAATGAGTCTGCCTGGGTAGACAGGATAGGGAGCTGGAGTAAAGTGCCTCCCCGACAGGAAGGAGAGGGCCATGTTTAATACCAGACTGCCAAAAGCAGGCCCAAATTTGCCTCCCACACTACCCGCTCCCTCATACCCATTCAGACCATTCAGACATCTGGGCCTGTGCGCCTAAGCACTTCACACAGCAGGGCCTGTGTATACCTTCAGCAAGGGTCTGGAGTAAGTCTTCAAATGGCTTACTATAATTTTAGCACTGGGAGGCTGAGGAAGGGGGATCAAAGTTTACAGCCAGATTCAGCTACATGGTGAGTCTCTGTCCAAACAAACAAACAAACAAACAAAAAAAACAGCCAATTAACCGATAGCACACCCAAGATCCAGGGTATGAAAAGCAAGATCCCAGCCAGTCTCGATGGCAAAGTAGACAGCGAACAAATATGTAAGAGTGCCCTGCACATTAAACTAGAGATGAGGGTGTGTCTGTGAGGAAGGGCTTCTTACTCTAGAGCCAGTGGGGCTAGAGCAGGTCCAAGGAGAGGTTGGAGTCGGCAGAGCCTTTCAAAGGTGATAAGGACTGTATCAATGTGATTTCGAGGGCTCCAAAGAGGGACCTACTGCTGTGTGACAAACTGGAAGTGGGAAGCCACACGGAAAACAGCCACAAGCTCTGCCTGGTTGGGATGTGGTCAGATTCTAGGTGTGCTCCAAACATAGCCAATAGGGCTTTTTTTGTTGTTTTTTTCGAGACAGGGTTTCTCTGTATTGCTTTGGAGCCTGTCCTGGAACTCTCTCTGTGGATAAGGCTGGCCTTGAACGCACAGAGATCCACCTGTCTCTGCCTCCTGAGTACTGGGATTAAAGGTGTGCGCCACCACCACCTGGCTTCCAGTAGGACTTTCTGTTGCTGACTCAGAGGAAAAAGTTTATCTTAAATCAAGGTTTCAGAGGTTTCTGCTGACAGTCACCTGGCCCAGTTGCTTTTAGGCTTGTGGCAAGGTAATTTGCTTCATGGTGAAAGAATGTGGAGAAAGCTACACGCTTTGTGGCAGTCAGGGAGCAGAAAAGCTTCCTGGGAAAGGCTGAGCCCCTCATGATCCCATCACCTCTCGGGGCCTTGGTGGCACACGCCTTTAATCCCAGCACTCGGGAGGCAGAGGCAGGAGGATCTCTGTGAGTTTGAGGCCAGCCTGGTCTCCAGAGCGAGTGCCAAGATAGGCTCCAAAGCTACACAGAGAAACCCTGTCCCGAAAAAATAAATAAATAAATAAATAAATAAATAAATATTAAAAAAAAGATCCCATCACCTCCCAAAGGCCCACCTCTGAATACTGCCACACTGTAGCCATGCCTTCACTACAGGGCTTTGTGAAGGCATTTCAGATCCAAATCAAGACAGCATGAGAGGAAGCAGTCAATGACTCCAGAGTGTGGGGCTTAGTGATGGATGGATGGATGGATGGATGGATGGATGCTGTCTATGAAGATGGAAGATGGCAGGAGAATAAATCAGAACCATCCCTCAGGCATCCTTTAAACAAAGGTGTGCATCTTGCAGGTAAAGGATGTTCTGCACAAAGGATGTCTTAGGGTTTCTAGTACTGAGACACCAAAACCATGGCAACTCTTATAAAGGAAAGCACATAATTGGGGCTGGCTTTCAGGTTCAGAGGTTTAGTCCATTATTGTCATGATGGGAAGCATGGCTGCATACAGGCAGATATGGTGCTGGAGAGGTGGCTGAGAGTTCTACAACTGGATTGGCAGGCAGCAGGAAGAGAGACTCTAGGTGTGGCTTGAGCATTTAAAATCCCAAAGCCCACCCCAGTGACACACTTGTTCCACAAGACCACACCTACCCTAACAAGGTAAAACCTAATAGTGCCACTCCCTAATAACCAATCATTCAAATATACAAGCCTATAGGGGGGCATTCCTATTTAAACTACTACAAAGGAACAGCAGGGACACAGGACCCGAGTACAGAAAATACTGGGAGCTTGCTGCATGCCAAACATGGTTCTCCGCCTGAATGCTCACAGCTTCTGAGATCAGGGTAATCATTAGCCCCCTTCACCGGTTTAAAAAAAAAAAAAACAAAAACAAAAGACCTGTGTGGCCAGGTAGGTGTGGGTGGCAGGGGTACTACAGAATGGGGCTGTTTGAGACTGAAACCCAGGCAGCCTGCATTATAAAACATGTCTTGAACTGGCAGAGTGCAGCAGTTCCTTAGGATTGGCCTTAGTTTTTATTTTTGAGGCAGTCTTACTATGTAGTCCTGGTTAGCCTGGAACTCATTACACAGACCAGGCTGGCTTTGAGCAACTGCCTCTTCAAAACCTTGTGTCCCCGTGCAACACCCGTGGCTGTTTCTGAACTTTAAATAGTAGTATCAAATGTACACTCTGTGACATTTTGCTGCTCAGTCTTTAGTTTTTTTGAGGTCTCACACAACTGAGGTTGGCCTCAAACTCAACATATAACCAAAGAGGGCCTTAACTCTATCCTCCTGCCTCTATTCACCTTCCATGTGCTGATTACAGGTATGTATTTGAACTCTCTGCTACATAATTAGCATTGCATTCTACAAGGCACCATTGTACTTTGGTGAGGGAATGGGACCCTAGGCCACCCTCCACACTTTATTGTACTATTGAGCTCAAATGGGCTGTTTGTGAATGTAGTGTCTATTGAAAGCACTGCTGTTCTTCTCCTCATTTATGAGATGGGACTGCTGGGTTTGAAGGAATAACTCAACTGTTAATGCCAAACTGTTTCCAAAGTGGCTTTCTCTCTATGGCCATGCTGACATCTACTGACACATTTTCACACCTCAACCCTTCTGCCACCTGAGTGTTTATCTATACAGCCAATATGCTCACTCCCACCTCACCCATCCTAAGGACCATAGAATTCTATCTATTACAGCCAATGATCTTTCCTGCCTTGACCCAACACCTCCCTGAAGGTTAGGCTAGGCCTCCAGCAGGGCCTCACATCTATCCCTGGACCCTTTCCTCCTCAGGCTGCTATTCCCTGTCCATCCGGCTCAGCCGCCCTTCATCTTGGGACCGGATCAGACACTACAGGATACAGCGCCTTGACAATGGCTGGCTATACATCTCACCACGCCTCACCTTCCCCTCACTGCAGGCCCTGGTGGACCATTACTCTGGTATAGCTTTTTCTTTTTCTTTTGCTTCCACAGTAGACTAGATGGAGGGCCTAGGAGGGTAGCCAGTTGTACCCTTAGAACCTTGACCTGCTGGGGCTATCTAGACAGAAGAGGCACATCCTCTATCTGTCCTTATGCAGTCACTGTGCTAAGGTGTGGATGAGAGCTGTCTCCATCCCATGCTGACAAAGAACTAACTAGATAGAGGCCAACTGTGAGCTTGGCCAAATCTTACCACTATGGTGGTGGTTCCAAATCAAAGTTCCCTACAGTCTTCACAGGAACCAGATTGTACTGTTCCTGGGTGCATTACAATCTTTAGCATTTCTGGTGCCTACCCTGTAACCAAGACAGTGTCAAGGAGACAAGGAAAACCTCACACCTTTAATCCCAGCACTTGGGAGGCAGAGGTAAGCAGATCTCTGAGTTCAAGGCCAGCTTGGTCGACAGAGTGAGTTTCAGTAACAATGAGGGATATAGAGAAACCCTGTCTAAAAACAAAGCCAATAATGAAGAAAGTTAAAAAAAGGCGTGGTGGGGGTGGGGTGGGGATGGGATGGACCTCTTAGAAAGTTGACTAAGGATTTCTACAAAGTGGGTCTCCACAGTAGATGATTGGGCCACAGGCTGACCACCCAGCTTGCTTTTCTTCTCAAATTTACACAGAGCTACATAACTTAGCCCCAGCTGAACTTTTACTATGTCTCAGCCTGTGTGAGACTGATAGCTTGGGACTTCACTTCCTATTATATTTTAGTGACCATGTCCCCAAAGTGCAAAGCACAGAAAACTGCCAGGTAAAGGATCACATCAAGGGTTTGTGTCTCTTCCGTAGAGCTGGCGGATGACATCTGCTGTGTCCTCAAGGAGCCCTGTGTCCTGCAGAAGCTTGGCCCACTACCTGGCAAAGATATACCTCTACCCGTGACTGTGCAGGCGGCATCACTCAACTGGAAAGAGCTGGACAGGTAAAGGGAGTCCTGGAAACATGAAGGAAGAACCAAACATGGACTCGCAACCCAGACTGGGGTGTTACATCCAGGTTTGACTACTGGTGAGGACAAGGTAGTATCAGGGAAAAGGAGAGCACGGCCCTCAGGGCAGCTAGGCTGAGAGGATGGAGTGGGTGGGTGAACAGAGTCCTGGGTAGGGAAGTCAAGATGGAAGTCAGATCAGTTGAGAAGTGAGGAGCCCAAGTTTGTCAGCAGGAATAACAGTGCTGTTCTAAGGGTAGTCAACTGTGTGGCAAGGCAAGCACAGAAGTGACTCCCTTACCCACTTTCCCCATCCACAGCACGCTGTTTTTGGAAGCACCTGCCAGTGGGCAGGCATCTCTTCTCAGTGAGGGGCTCCGAGAATCTCTCAGTTCCTACATCAGCCTGACTGAGGATAACTCCTTGGATGATGCCTAGTCCAAGCAGAAAGCGAAAGGGTACCGAGGCCGCGTCACCTAAGACTCCAACTCAGCTGAACCCGATGCAGCACCTTAGAGGCAAGGCTGTGAATGTGTGAACGCAGACAGGGTTGGGCTGGGAGGCAGGCACATCCAGGGTTCCACCTGGACCTTCTGCCCCTTACTCTCTAGACTGTAAGAAGTCATTTATCTCCTCCCAAGGCCTTCAACTCCTAGTCCATGTGCAACGCAGTTCAAAGCAGGGGCATAAATTACTTCTGAGGTTTGGCAAGTCAGTTCCTGAGAAGGATGTCCAGTAGGATTGCTGTGTCCCATCCCCCATTGTGACTGCCCATCAGCCCTACTGAGGCAGAGATCACCACTAGCATGGAGAGAAAAAATACTAGGGAAATTTACAAGACTGAACAAGAATGCAAACACATTTCAGATGGTAGGATGGCTCAGAAAGCAGAGCACTTGATGGGTTACCACAGCAGCCTCCACCTCATCCAAAGTACAGCAAGACCAACAATCTAGATCTTCCCATGATCCCTCATATCAAGTTTCCCTTTCAACAGCCCAGCTCTCAGATCTCTACTTCACTTAGCGTCAACCCAAACACAGCCCAGTCATACCCCACCCAGTCTTGCCATCTGGTGGCCAAACACAAAATGCACTGTTTATGTCACCTATCTCAGTGCTGGGCCAGGACATCAAACAGTAGACCCTCTACCCTCTCTGCAATGTTAACACCAAGGCACTAACCATCACCTACTCCAGCTCCTCATTTCTCTGACAGCCCAAAAGAGAAAGAGGCCTAGCCGAAGCTGCTATGGGAGCGGGGTGGTGGTGGTACTGTGCCTGACACTCCTACTAGGTTCCGAGGGTACAGGTGTGTAAGCGAGGCTTTAGTTTACCAGGCATGCCAACACTTTCAGTTAGACTTGTTTATTCAAGTATCCGAAAACACTCTACAGTGGAAACTTATTAGATGGCTGCCCGTACTGTGCAATGGCTCACGCACATGGTGTTTTCAGAAGACTTGAGATGCCAATGATAGTTTAAAAACTGTGCACCTGACGGAGAACTAAGGAAGACAATTTCATGTTTCATCCGGATCCAGAGGCCATTAGATTAGACAGCAGCTCCACTTGGCAAACAGCTGTTACAGAGGTGCGTAAGATTAGACAGCAGCTCCACTTGGCAAACAGCCATTACATGATGGTGTCCAAGAAAAAATGGTCTGTGATAAACAAATTCACAACTATTTCCCCAAAGGTAGATGGTTCTTTGAAAAGTTTCACAACCCTTGCAGAAAACACCAATGCCCAACATGATGATTCTAAGTCCAAGAGACATGGGTCTTCTCAGTACCACGTGGCAGGAGTGCCCCAACAAGCATGTATCTGTGCTGTAATAAAAGGGTCCTTTGGATTGGACAGAAGAGATGGTAGCAAACGCCATCAGTCATAGTGGATGGCAGTGTAAAAGATGATCCAAATGACCTAGGGGAGACACAAGCAATGTTCATGTTGTCACCTGGATCAACACAACCCCTCCCTCCCCAATGAAAATAGCATTGCCCAAATCTGAGGCTTTTAGGATATTCATAAAGTATCATCAATCCCAAAACATCACACCAAAGAGAAGGCCTGTTCCCATGGTCATTTATCATTTCCCATTTCTACCTCCCCTCAGCTACTGGCAACTACTAACCTACTTTGTCTCTATAGCCCTGTATATTCTGGACATTTCACTAAGTGGAATCATGTAGCCTTTTATGTCTGGATTCTTTCACTTAGCATGTTTTTAAGGTTCACCTATACTGCAATACCACAGAAAGTATGTTTTTCTGTTTAGATATAAAACATTTTACACTTCAGATGACAGCCATGTGAGTGGTTTACTTTTTCCTATTAGATATATGTATATAAAATATTCACATCATTCCTATCTACATTTTTGGTTTTTCCTTTTGGGGACAAGGTTTCTTGATGTAGTCCAATCTGAATTCAAATTTATAATCCACCTTGCTGCTATCACAGTTCTGAATGATCACACCCAGCTCCACAAATATGTATTACAACTTCCCAGTTTCTAATATGTAGCTGATGATGGGCCCTGGATTTACACAAACGTACAGCACCCCAGACCACATCTTTTGGAGGACCTGCTCAAGGGGCTACTGAAAAGAACAGAGCTCAACAACATAGCATAAGTCAGCAAGTATGCTCCGAGTGGCTGACATCTTAGAAAATGGAGGCCGTTGTAAAACCACCAGCTGCACATACCATGAACAAGGCAAATGATGTCATGAACCCTTCTTTGGTGAGCTCCCACGTGCCACCATACTCTTCCTCGTCAATTTGTAGGTAGTTGCTGAAGTAGAGATATAGGACTCCTGCATTGATCAGGCAGAATCTGGAGGGGGATAAGCACCAAACACAAACCCTAAGCTTTGTGCTGCAAGCTCTCCCAGCCCTGTTCAGGGCACTGATTCCAGTTCATTCTCATTATTCTCCTCCCCTCACCCTGCCTCCCACTCCCCGTTTTTCAAGACAGGGTTTCTCTGTGTTCCAGGACCTTAGCAGTCCTGGAACTCTGTAGTCCAGAACTCAGAGATCTTCCTGCCTTAGCTTCCTAAGTGCTGGGATTAAAGGCGTGTGCCACCACTGCCCCTGCTTAACCAGTTTATTCGTTGCTTATGTGTATTGCTGTCTCTCCATCCAGGCAGGGGATAACCTGGAGAGAGAAGCTCCAAGCTTAGGAAAACAGCTCAATTTGTTTACTTCGTTGTTATGAGCTTTGTGTAAGTCTCTCCAGAGGGACGGTGATTATGGTGGGAGGGATGAATGAAATACACAAAAATGTTTAGACCTTCAGTGGAGCTGCCCACCTGACTAAGTTGGAGATTTAAGGAAGAACTACTACTTTTGGTGAAAAGCATGCAATAAAAATGTAAAGCATGAGGCAGGGGTCTCAATGGCAGAGCACTTGTCTGCCACACACAAGGCTTTGGGATCCATTCCCAGCACTGCCCCCAATTCTTTAATCTACTTTTTATTTTGGTGTTTTGAGATAGGGTCTCACTATGTAGCCTTGGCAGGCCTGGAACTCCACATGTAGACCAGCTCACAGGAGAGATTCATCTGCCTTTATCTCCTGAATAGTAGGATTAAAGTCACACAACCACTACACCCAGCCTACTTCAATGTGAAGCACACTGAATTTCAGCCTCCTTGAAAAAATTACAATGCCAGGTGTTGGTGGTGCACGCCTTTAATCCCAGCACTTGGGAGGCAGAGGCAGGTGGATCTCTGTGAGTTCGAGGCCAGCCTGGTCTCCAGATCGAGTGCCAGGATAGGCTCCAAAGCTACACAGAGAAACCCTGTCCTGAAAAACCAATAAATAAATAAATTAGAATGGCTATAATGCCACCTCAAACAGGCCAAAAAGAAAGAAAGAAAAAAAAAAAAAGGAGAAAATATATCTTGGGGATGAGCATGTCACAGAGGTAACTGGTGCCAGAGGCTTTCTAAACCCAATGGCCTGGGAGTTCTTGGGATTTCAAGGAAACACGGTTCTTTTTTTGTTTCTCTGGCACTCACTCTGTAGACCAGGCTGGCCTTGAACTCCCAGAAAACCGCCTGTCTCTGACTCCCGAGTGCTGGGATTAAAGGCGTGCGCCACCAATGCCCGGCTAGGAAAGTTGGTTCTTGACTAAGTTTTAGCTACATCCTTATCTCTTGCCAGGAACCTTGGGAGTTGGCCAAACCTGGCCACCTGCTCTTCCCAAAAGGACCTTTATTTTGGACAGGCTGACTTACTGGCTCTAGCTGGAAACCAATGATGGGAGCCGTAATGATACTGGGAAGCTAATGCCGGACATGGTCACTCATGTCTGTAATCCAGCACTTAGGAGGCTGAGGCAAGAAGGATTGCTAGAAGTTCAAGGCCAGCTTGGGAAGATGAATGTACATGCAGACAAAACATCCATATATATTTTTTTAAAATGCTGGGTAGTAGCAGTGCAAGTAGATTTGGGGAGCTTGAGACCAGCCTGGCCTACAAAGTGAGTTCCAGGACAGCCAGGGTTGTTACAGAGAAACTCTGTCTCAGGTTTTAAAAAAACAAACCGGAAAAATCAAACCAAACCAACTGCACTGACAATAAGCCAACATGGAGTAGGACCGTGGAGTGAGGAGGTGGGGATGACAAAGAGAGGCACTTACTTCCAGAAATAATAAGACACAGAAAAAAAGGCCATATTAAATCTAATGTTTGATGAGGTTAGAGGCAGGATCAAGAAAGGACTAGAAGAGCCTCACACTGACTAAACTTCAGGATTCCTATCAATACGTTATATAAACGAGGAAGAGAGTTACACAGCAAAGATGTCAGCAAATGAATGTGGTGGACTGGGGCGACAAAAGAACATGAAAAAGGCGGAGTCCCAACTACAGGCCAGGCTAGCCACACGGTAATTGCTTGGCATGTGCCTATCAACCCAGCATCTGAGTGAGAAATAAGATTAAGGGTTCAAGGCCATTGTGGTATTTGGGAGGGAGTGTATGCAGGAGTCCAAAGTCAGCCTGGGTGATAGAGTGAGATGGTTCCGTGGCTAAGGGCCAAGCCTGCCGATCTGAGTTCAATCACCGAAGCCAGGTGGTGGAGAGAACTCCTCGAGTTGCCCTCTCACTTCTATATGGGAGTCCTGCTTCCTACTCACAAAATAAATGCATGTAATTCATACATACAAGTGACAACACCAGTTTAAAAGTGAAGCATTAACTGAGCACATATCAAAGATGTATGCTGAGCTGAGAGACTCAGAGGTGGGTCTTCAATGCAGAACCTCAGTAGACAGAAGAGCTGCCATGCAGTTCTTGGGCAAATTACAAATAAGGACACAAGAGAAGTTCTACTGTAACTGATGGCCACAACAAAATGAAATAAAACAAGATGGGACTTGGTTAGAGGGCAGCTAAACAGTTACTGGAGAGAGGAGGGAAATTCACTAGAAATGAGCACCAGGAAGTCACGCCCAAAGCAAGGGAAGTTGGAGAAGGGTTAAGGAAAAATAAACAACAAAAATCAAAGTTCTTGGTCTTTCCAACATGAGGGGAAAAGTGCCAACCCAAAAGAAGGTAGAGTTTGTCCAGAGTGAATAACTGGCTGTGGTGACAGTGTGGACTGAATCCAGAAACAGGCAACTTTGGAATAGTGGCACCACACACTGGGTGAGCCCGTCCAAAGTGCACTCAGTTTCTTGTTCTCTCAGCCACATTTTACCACTTTTTATAAATCTAACCACGGAACTAATAGCAGTGAACTGACTCATGGAATGCCTGATGAACAGAAGTCTACATTTAGCAATTTACAGCATCCCATTTAACTCACCAGTCAGTCACTCCCCTGTCCTCATTTTACTGATCTTAGGTAAGCCCAAGATTATACAGCTTCGAAGGAGCAGACCTAGGTAACTCAGAATGCAGAGTTTTCTAGGAAGTGGGTTTTTGTGTGTGTGGTTTTTGTTTTGTGTTTTTCAAGACAGGGTTTCTCTCTGTAGCCTTAGCTCTTCTTGGCTGACCTGGAACTCACAGGGATCCATCTGCCTCTGCCTCCTGAGTGCTGGGATTAAAAGTCTGTTTATGAAGGCTCCCCCCCCCCCAATTTTCTCGAGACAGGGTATCTCTGTGGCTTTGGAGGCTGTCTTGGTACTCGCTCTTATAGACCAGGTTGGTCTTGAACTCACAAAGATCCCCCTGCCTCAGCCTCCTGAGTGCTGGGACTAAAGGCCAGTGCCACCACCGCCCAGCGAGATGACTAGCATTCTATCTTTACACCTCATCCTACCTAGGAAGAGCTCTAGGAACCCTAGGTCTGATAGTCTCATCATCCTCATCCACTCTGTTAAAATCATACACAGCAAGCCGGGTGGTGGTGGTGCACGCTTTAATCCCAGCACTGGGAAGGCAGAGCCAGTCAAACCTCGAGGCCAAAGTTCGAGGCCAGCTACAAAGAGGTCTACAAAGCAAGTTCCAGGATAGCCAGGGCTGTTACACAGGGAAACTGTCTCTAGTTATCTACCATCAACATGAACAAAATGGGAAGTTCCAGAAACATGTGTCATGTAAATAAAATGCATAATTTCAACTATAGGCTGCTTCAGGCAGTATGTAAAATCTTATGCTGCCCTATTTAATTGTACCATTCCTCCATCCAGCACCCTTACGGTGTAAATATTCCCTGTTAGTTAATGGTAGTGACTTGATCAGAACTGTAACAGTATCAGTGCTGTGTTCAAACAACCCTGGCTTTACATAGTAATAGTCTCAAATTTTAGAGAATAGTGATGCTAGCAATCTGGATACACCATAAAGCCACAAAGTGCTTTCTTCAAATATATCATAACTATCAGGACTAGTATAAAACAATTACATATTTTGAGACACAGGAAAGGACCATGTAATTTTATCACAGCACATTGATAGTTATTTAATTGCTGTTGTTGATTAACAATGCTTAATTTGTAACTAAATTTTTTTTGTTTGTTTATTTTTTGAGACAGGGCTTTTCTGTATAGCCTTGGTTGTCCTGGAACTTGCTTTATAGATCCAGCAGGCCTCGAACTCATAGAGATCTGCCTGCCTCTGCCTCCTGAGTGCTGGGATTAAAGGCATGTGTCACCACCACCTAAAATGCTTTTTTGAGACAGTCTTATTCCATATCCCTTGCAGACTTGCCAGGAACTAACATGGTCTAACTCTAGCTGAGATAGAGAACCTATCTCAGCTTCCCAGGCAGAAAGATTACAGGTATGCACCATCATGCCCAGCTCATTTATAATTTAAATATTATTAGAGATAATAATTGGCTGTGGGTATCCACTGAGGGTCTTGAAATAGATCTGTCAACAGAAGGGACTACTATCCATTTCTTTTGGGTTACTACTATCCAAGAAGTTACCCAAATCTTTTTCTGAAACATACTCCTCACTCCCTAAAGGAACTAGTAAGATGTCCCATTAGCTCTTAAACAACCAGCATGGCTTTCCATGGGGGAGGGCGAGACAAAGGAATGCTCACTTGTATTCCTGTGTGAAAAGACAAGGCCAAGCCTTCTCACAGTTCCCGCTTAGGAGGAATTGCCCTAACTGCCCTTTAAATGCAGTTTCATGGGCACAGGCTTGATTTCAGTAACTTGATAAACTAAACCATGTATGAGCAGGTGTCAAGGATGTTGCCATTGGCCACGAGTGAAGTAAAATGTGCAAGGTTAAGCCTCTTGGGGTAGTGCTTTTAAAATGTAGGGACCTGAAAATAACTCCTGCCAAAATCAAGAGCTGGCACATTAGCAAAATACAAAGCATAAAAAGATGACCATCAACTACAAAGCAACTCTACTTCCTAAACTTCCACAGGTACCAAGGTCAGGGCATAATTAAGAATACTTGCTGCTTCAGGCAGTGGTGGTGCACACCTTTAATCACAGGGCTCGGAAGGCAGGGGCAAGAGGATCTCTGAGTTGGAGGCCAGCCTGAGTGAATTCCAGGACAGCCAAGGCTACACAGAGAAATCCTGTTTCAAAAAAACCACAGAATACTTGTTGCCAACAAGTAATATGATAACCACTTGCAAGGCGTCACATTAGACCCATGAATGACTAGACTGGCCCAGTCTTCAGGACAGCAGCCCGACATGAGATGCTCCTAGACCTGAGAGCTAAGGAACATTGCACCAGGCCTATGAGTGCTAATGCTGAGTTCTTCACTTGGGTAATCAGATCAACAGCACTTGGGAAGTAGGAGCAAGAGGATCAGGAGTTCAAGAGGCAACCTGGGCTCATGTAGGGACCCTGTCCCTAAAAAGAATTTTTTTTTTTAAAAGAAAATAAAAAATAGCTATCAGGATCCTGAGCATAGTTGCTTGCTTCTAATCCCAGCACTTACTAGGCTGAGGCAGGAGAACTACCATGACTGCTAAGCTTGAGAGAGATATCCTGCCTCAGACAAAACTACAGGAATGTGAGATACTCAAGACTTACCCTGCTATTCCCAAGAAGCCTCGCAAGGGCACAATGCCCCAAATGACACCCAAGACCACAGCAATAATCTGTCGGAACCAGTAGATCACATCTAAAAATTCATCCTATAAAAGAGACACAATGTATACATTATCTGGAGTGGCTGCCACAGGACAGTTACAGGTGAAGAAACAAAAGCTTATTAAGATTTCTTTTTATTTTTTCCCTCCCGCAAGACATTCTCACTATGTAGCCTTGGTTGGCCTGGAATGTACTATGTAAACCAGGTCTAGGCTGTAGAGTGCTGGACTAAAGATGCGTACCACTGCATCCAGCTTAGTTGGTGGTGGTTCTTTGGTTTGTTCATTTTATTTTGTATGTATGATGTTCTGCCTGAATGTATGCATGTGTACTACATACACATGCGCCTGCTGCCCATGGATGTTGGATGGAGGATGTGGATGGAGAAGGAGGTCGATGGATTCCCTGGAACTGGTGTTACAGATCATTATGAACCAACCACCTTGTGGGTGCTGGGCATCAAACTCAGGTCTTCTGCAAAAGTAAGTAATACTCTAAATGGCTGAGCCATCTCTCTAGCCCCATATGTGGTTCTTATGTCATCATTCCTACTAGTGTGGTGGAAAACAATGTATTTAGACATAAGGTGATTAGAGAAACCTTGAGTTCTTGAATGAAGTGACTGTGGGCACTGTGCTCCTGGCCATAGGCAACCCTAAGCTAAACAGGTTAAGCCCTAGACAGTCCCGAGGGGTGTGAGGGGGAACTATTAACCTCAAAACCCACCCTCTCTCTTTGTACAGTGTCTTCTGAGAAAGCCACCAGGGAAGGAAAGTATGGTGGTGTGGGAAGTGAGAAGTGCTTTGGGCATGTACACTAGTGGTTTGTGAATTGCTCTGGACTCCAAACCCGTCCTTGGACCAGAGAAGAAAATAAAAAATGACACAGCAGATCACAAAGACACTGCAGGTTTTGCAAGAGCTGGGCAGGGCTGGGGGCAGGCCAAGGGCACCTTCAGGAAGTGCTTCCCATCCCCCCATTCGGAACTAAAGGAAAGAAGAAAAGCTAAACTTCAGGAGTCCGAACAAAGGAAGGATTCCAAATATAACATTCTTTTCAAATTATCTGGAATCAGACAGTCTTTGAGATCACAGACGGAGCAAAGGTGGGAGGCGTCCACGCTTAGATCCTCTGAAGGTGACCAGCGAGCGCCTCTTGAAGTTCCCAACCACTTTTTCTTACCCACGTCTGTCGACATTTCTGCCTCACACACACTGTCCTAAGGGGGGTCTCAGACCCGTCTCTCGAATCTTAAGCTCGTGGGGCATCTCGTTCTTTGGATCTAATCGAGCAAAGGCAATACCAGCCTTCCCAATGCGCAAACCAAACCCACTTTGGGGATTCCGCCCCACGGCACGCGCGCGGTCTTCAGAAGCTCTAACTACTCGGGATCCCGCGGAGTAAACGGTGGGGATGTCGGGAGCTCGGCTCGCTCC